TTGAAGGTGGCTGTGTGTGGGTGGGTGTGCACATGTTGAAGGTGGCTATGTGTGGGTGGGTGTGCACATGTTGAAGGTGGCTGTGTGCACATGGGTGTGCACATGTTGAAGATAGCTATGTGTGGGTGAGTGTACACATGTTGAAGGTGGCTGTATGCACATGGGCATGCACATGTTGAAGGTGGTTGTGTCCGTGGGTGTGCACATGTTGAAGGTGGCTGTGTGTAGGTGGGAGTGCACATGTTGAAGGTGGTTGTGTCCGTGGGTGTGCACATTTTGAAGGTGGCCATGTGTGCGTGGGTGTGCACATGTTGAAGGTGGCTGAATGTGCATGGGCATGCATATGCCATGGTGTGTGTGTGGAGGTCCAAGATCACCCTTCAGTGTTGTCCCTCAGGTAATTGTGTTGGAGGCCGCTGTTGACCTCTGCACTGTACAGTGTAGGCTGGCTGGCCCATAGCTCCTGGGGAGTACCCAGCATTGCCTCCCATCCTGCCCCAGGTGCTCCTGGATCATAGCTGCCATATCCCAACTTATGTGGCTCTGGGAATTCAAACTCAGGTCCTCAAACTCCTGTGGCAAGATCCTTATTCACTGAACTGTCTCTCACAGGGTAACTTTTTATTGTTCACATGTTAATTCTTTTTAACTGATAGAAAAGTTGTACATATTTATGTGGTACCCAGTGACATTTTGATTCATATATTTGTCATTTAGTGTTCAAAGCAGGGTAACCAGGGCAGGAGAGCTGGTTCAGTATGTACAGCTCTTCCAGAGGACTCAAGCTCAATTCCTGGCATCCATATCAGGTGGCTCACAACCACCTGCAACTCCAGCTCCAGGGAATCTGAGCCCCTAGCTTCTGTGGGCATCTGCACTCATGTGTTCACACAGACACAGACATATAATTTAAAATGGAATTAATGAAAAAAAATTAGGGGAATTATGATACTCTCCTCCAACAATGACCATTTCTTTATGTTGGAAACATTTCAAATCCTTTCTTCTAGCTTCTTTAATTAAAAAAAAAATATTGAAGTTAGGGTGGTGGTGCAGGCCTACAATCTCCGTACCCAGGAGGCCGAGGAAGGCAGGTCTCCATGATTTCTAGGCCAGCTTGATCTACAATCCAGCAAGGATCACAGAGTGGGACCTTGACTCAAGCAAGCAGGTGAGAGAGGTTATTACCTGCCGCCACCCCAGTACGCACAGAATTGGAGAACTTCTTTCTGTCTATTTACAACAGCATCCATTAGCCAGCTTCCCCAGCCCCGCCCTCTGCGCACCCTCCCAGCCTATAGGAAGCACCATGTGCTACTGCCGCGTTGAGGCCAGTCTTTTCAGGCTCCCCAGGAGGACAGCGAGACTGAAGTGAGACTCGGTGAGAAGCGAGAAGCGGGTGGGTTCAGGCTCCCCAGGAGGACAGGAAGACTGAAGTGGGACTCGGTGGGAAAGGGGGGGGCTGACCTGAGTTCTTCCCTGCGCCGGCGGATCAGCTCTTCGTCTAACCGGTGGATACAGGCCCCTTCACTTTTGATTTTCTCAAAGTGCTTCTTCACTTCTTCTCTCCATTCAGCCTGTGGAGGAAAGTTGAACTCTGTAAATACTGTGGTCTCCATTCCCAATGCATCCCTGACACCATGTCACAGATATTTCCTCCTGAGCCTCTCCAAACTTTCTACCGGAACTTGTTCGGGGTAAATGTTCAAGACGTGCTAGTTCATCAAGGACAAAACAGCCTCCACTCTGGAAGTGCAAGCCCCACTCTGTCCTGAACACAGCGCTGTCTCTTTTGCTCACACGGCTGTGAGCCCTGAGGCTCTACACAGCTGCTCCCACAGCGGCTTTGCTGAGGAAAGAAGGATGGATGGAGCAGAATACCCCAGAGAAAGTGCACTGCAGAGCTGAAGGGGAGGAGGAGGGAAAGGGGAGGGAGACGAGGGGCAAACACTGGAGGAGTCTGAGAAGATCACGGAGGCAAGGGGCGAGGACCTAACACATGATTCAGGCTGGCCAAGGCTGCTTTCACTTCACAAACACTCAGGGATCTCCCAACACTTGCTTGGCTTTTGATGAGGTGAGGTGTTTCTTTGCTTTGTTTTTTCTTCAAATCACTTAAAAAATCAAGGAAGGGGCTGAATTTCACATACGGGTCAGTAACAGGACAACCCTGCAGTGGCAGAAGTTGGGGATAAAGAATCTGAGGGAAGGAGATCCAGAGAGGCCATGAAGCTGCACTCTGCTGTAAGTAGAACTAGGTGTTTCTAACACTGCACATTCTTCTGGGACGACTCCTTCGCCCTGAGACACGTGCTAATAGACAGACCTCTGGATTGTGTGCCACGAGCAGTTCAGCTTTCAGAGGCACATGCTGCCTCTTGCAGCGCTTACTCCTTGCCCACATCAGCACTGACGTGCGCCTCTAATGTCCCTAGTGACGGCAATCCCATTTCTCAGCATCCATCCAAAAGAATTGAGATCAAGATCTTGGAAAGGGATTAGTATCCAGCACACCACGCTCTCTGCATCCACACTCTTGACTGACAGTTGCGACTAGAAGTCAACGATGTCAGACAGTGGACACTGAGGGCAGCGTGTCAGCAGGTGAGAGGATGCAAGGTCACGGACAGAAGACTGCGACAGTAAGAGCAAAACCACGTGTGTGTGAAACACCCAGTTATTCCCCCGCAGAGCAGAACAGTGACAAAATACAACCAGCCTTGAGAGTTTATCAGAGGAAGCATGGAGAGTAACAGTCCAGCTCAGGCTGAGAGTTTTTAGCTTTCTGGCAAGTAAACAATAGCAGGTTACAAGCAAACAGTGCACAGGGCGCCCGTGTCCCTATTCTTCCCTAGACCTTCACAGGGAAGCCTTAAGTAGGGGTCAGGGCAGGGCTTAGAGTCCCACAGGCTTCCTAGTGTTTCACTAGCCAGCTCATCAATACTCCATTAGCATTAGCCAGAGATGGTCTCAATTTCAGACCTGGAAACATCAATTTATAAACAGTTGAAAATTTATTGCAACTAGCAAAAATTATTGCAACACGCAGACTAGGAGTTATTGGGGGAGAAATGACATTTTGTGTTGGGAGGAGACTGTGGAGGAATTGATGAACAGAACAGACACTACTGTACTCTGAACTCCTTTCTCACACCCCGAGAGTCCCAAGGCAAAGGGATGAGGTGGAGCTTTGGGGAGGCGGTAGGTCAGGAGGGTATCTGTTTCAGTGTGAGTAAGTATCTTTGGGAGGCAGGCTGGGAACACAGAGTGTCACCCATGAAGCAGGACTCAAGTTCTTCCCATGTCCTGGATCTGCTGGGCTTGGACTTGTCATGGACTTCCTGGCCTCAGAACTATGGGAAATAACCTATGCTGCTGACCAAGCACCCGTGGATAGTAATTTATCCTGGCAGCCCACATTAAAGCAGATACCCGACATACTCTTCTCCTCCCTGACCTATTCTCTCCTCTCCTGGCCCCAGAAGAACCTTTAGTGAGACCAGCACTTATTTGGCTTTGATTCTTGACCCAGGAATGGAAGTGAGCTGGCCCACTGGGGTAGTGACTGCAGGAACTTAGTTGCTCTGTGCAGGGCTTTGCATATGGGAGGTTTTCAGAAAAGTTAACACTGGCTTGAGAACATTGAAGTAATATCCTTTTTAAAAAAATTATTTTATTTTTATTTTATGTACGTTGATGTTTTGTCTACATGCATGTCTGTTTGAGGGTGCCATGTAAGTGCTGGAAACTGAACCCAGGTCCTCTGGAGGAGCAGCCAGTGCTCTTAACTGCTGAGCCATCTGTCCAGGCTCTTGAAGTAAAATCTCAGATTACAACATTTTCCAAACACACACACACACACACACACACACACACACACACACACACACACACTTAAATATATAATGTTAAATTGACTGTCTCAATAGCTTTGACTTAGTGCTTCCACTATAATTTGCTTTTCAAAGTTGTGATACTAGGTAGTTTGCCAGTGAAGGGAGCAAAGCTATTTGTAACGATATACTACATTTGGAAGATTTCCTAGGAGTGCTTGCTGCTACTCTCATTTCACCAAAAAAGAAAAAGAAAAAACAAAACAAAACAAACAAAAATCCAAAAACAAACAAAAGCCCCCCAAAACAAAAGACACATCACATCTTTTCTGACACCAGTGACAGTACTAAACAGTTTCTGACACAGTGTCTCATGTCTGTGGTTGCAGATTCCATGCTTCTATGGAAGTCCACCGGACTGCACAGCAAGAAACACACAGGAGTGCCATGAATATGCCTCCCTTGTTTTCAAGGTGTACTTGTGTGTGTGTGTGTGTGTGTGTGTGTGTGTGTGTGTGTGTGAATATGTGCACAGGTGGGCAGAGGCCCATGACAGCAGCCAGAAGAGGACACCAGAATCCCTGGAGCTGGAGTTACGGGTGGTTGTGAGCCACCTGATACAGGTGCTGGGATGTAAACTCAGGTCCTCTAGAAGAGCAGCAAGCTCTCTCAGCTGCTGAGCCCTCTCTCCAGCCTCAACACTACAGCTTTTAAATTAAAGTATTTAATCCATTTCGAGTTGATTTTTGTGGAGGATTAGAGATGTGGATCTGACTCCATTCTTCCACAGATGGATTTCCAGCTTTGCCAGCACCATCTGTTGACTAGATTTTTCCCTCACTCCAGTGTGTGTATGAATTTGTCAAAAGATGACGCTGTGGTTTATTTCTGACTGCAGTTCACTGGTCTACATGTCTGCATCTGTGCCACTACCAGCAGGCACTGATCACTATGCTCAGTGGTGTGATCTGAGGTCGGGTACCCCAGTGCCCCCAGCAGCATTCTCTCTGTTTAGGACTGCTTTGCTATCTATGCATGTTCCTTTACAATTCCATATGAATTTTAGTATGTTTCCCCTAACCCTGAGAAAATGTCACTAGAATTTTGCTGGTAATTACAATGAACTTGTAGGTGACTTTTGCTAATATGACCATTTTCACTTTATTAATTCTGCCAGTCCAGAGCAATGGAAGGTTCTCCGTGGTTCTCTGTGGCTCCCCGTGGTTTTCCGTGGTCTGGTGTCTAATTTCTTTTGTCATTGTCTTAGCTTTCACTGCAGAAATGTATTCATATGTTTGGTAAGGGCTTATTCCTAGGCATTTAATTGGGGGAGCTATTGCTAATGGGATGTTCTTCCTAATTTCTTTCTCAACAAGTTAATTATTATTTATATTTATAAAAGCTGCTGATTTTTGTATGTTGGTAAATTTTGCGACCTTATTGAATGTGTTTATTAAATCTATGAATTTTCAGGCACAGTCTACAGTCTTTTAAGTGTAGAATCATGTCTGTAAATAGGGACAATTTCATTTCACTTTTAATCTTTACACTTCACACATTTTAAATTGATTTTTATTGAGCTCTACTCTGTGGTTGCAGATTCCATGCTTCTATGGAATTCTACTATTGAGCTCTACTCAATAAAAATCTGCTCCCCTCCTTGCCACTCTCCTCCCCTTCAACCCTTCCCCACAGTCCCCATGCTCCCAATTAACTCAGGAGATCTTGTCTTTTTCACTTCCCATGTAGATTAGATCTATGTAAGTGTCTCTTAGTGTCCTCACTGTTGTCTAAGTTCTCTGGGATTGTGATTTGTGGGCTGTTTTTCTTTGCTTTATGTTTAAAAACCACTTATTAGTGAGTACATGTGATAATTGTCTTTCTGGGTCTGGGTTACCTCACTCAAAATGTTTTCTAGTTTCATCCATTTGCCTGCAAAATTCAAGATGTTGCTATTTTCTTATTTTCATTTGTCCTCTCACTGACAGTGAGATGGAATCTTGGGTGAGATGGAATGTCAAAGCAGTTTAATTTGTGTTTCTCTGATGGGAGAGGACACTGAGCACGGTTTCCAAGTATGTATTTGCCATTAACAGTTCTTTTGAGAACTGTTTATTCATTGTTATCTCATTACTAACTATCTTGGCATTTACTTTTTTGGTCCCTTGTGTTTGTGGGTATTAATCCCCATCTGCCGTGGAGTTGGTAATATCTGTTCACTCCAGTGATTGCTTTCTTGGCTTCAAAGAAGATTTTGAATCTAATAAAATCTCATGTGTCAGTCCTAGATTTACATCCTGTGTTATTGGAATCTTTTTCAGGACGTCCTTGCCTATTCTTGCATCTTTAAGTATTTTCCTTATGTTTTTCTCTAGGTTTCTCAAGGTTTAGGTTTAACATTAGGCTTCTGATCCTTTTCTTTGCAGGGTGTGTATATGAGAAAGAGATTCAGTTTGATTGTCCCCGTGTGGTCACCTAACCTCCCCAACACAGTTTCTTTTTTTTTAATTGATATTTATTGAGCTCTACATTTTTCTCTGCTCCCCTCCCTGACTCTCCCTTCCCCATTCAGCCCTCCCCCAAGGTCCCCATGCTCCCAATTTACTCAGGAGATCTTGTCTTTTTCTACTTTTCTACTTCCCATGTAGATTAGATCTATGTAAGTCTCTCTTAGTGTCCACATTGTTGTCTAAGTTCTCTGGGATTGTGGTTTGTAGGCTGACTTTCTTTGCCTTATGTTTAAAAACCACTTATGAGTAAGTACATGTGATAATTGTCTTTATAATTGTCTTTCTGTGTCTGAGTTACCTCACTCAAAATAATGTTTTCTAGTTCCATCCATTTGCCTGAAAAAATTCAAGATGTCATTAATTTTTCTTCTGTGTAGTACCCCATTGTGTAAATGTACCACATTTTCCTTATCCATTCTTCGGTCGAGGGGCACTTAGGTTGTTTCCAGGTTCTGGCTATGACAAACAAAGCTCCCAGCACGGTTTCTTGAAGAGGTCGTCTTTGTTGAGTGGATGTTTCTGGCCTTTGCTGAGAATGGGTGACTGTGCTGTCTGTTCTGCTCGTGGGTCCCTTGGCTGCTGTGATGCAGACCACGCTGCTTTTGGTCTTTGCTGAGAACTGGCAACTGGGTTGTCCGCTCTGCTCTGTGGTTCCCCTGTCTGCTGTGATGTAGACCACGCTGGTTTTGTTCGAGGGCTCTCCCAAGTCCAGATCAGGAAGTGGGAACTTCCAGCATTACCCTCCAGGCTCAGGATCACTTCGGACTTTCTGGTTTCTGTGCTTCCTTATGATTTTTAGGATTTTTTTTTCTATTTTTGTAGACAATGCAATTGGTATTTTGATGGGGAATGGCTTGAATTTATGGATCACTTTCAGGAATCTAGCTGCCTTAGGCTCTGCTAGATTGCTGCAATAAAATACCATGGCCAAAGGCAATTGGGGAGGAAACGGTTTATTTGGCTTACACTTCTACACTGTAGTCCATCGCTGAAGGGAATCAAGAAAGGAACTCAAGCAGGGCAGGAACCTGGATGCAGAAACTGATGCAGAGGCCATGGAAGGGAGCTGCTTACAGGCTTGCTCCCTATGGCTTACTCAGCCTGTTTTCTTATAGGACCCAGGACCACCCACAAAGGGCTGGTCCCTCCCCCATCAATCGATCACTAATTAAGAAAATGCCCTAAAGCTGGATCATGGAGACATCTTAACTGACGTTCTCTCATTTCATATCAAGTTGACACAAACTAGCCAGCACACTTTCACATTATTGGTTTTGCCAGTCCTGGAGCACAGGAGATCATTTCCACGTCTGCTGTCTTCAGGTCCTTCCTTCTACGCCACGTCTTTCAGCCCTCTGTTTGGGCGTTCTTCATTGTCATGCACACCTTTTTCTCTGGTTTCTTTTCAGCAGTTGATCTCTGATGACTGGAAAGGCGGCTGACTTCTGTCTGTGGATTTCCTATCCTGGGATTGGCTGAGAATGTGTGTGAGGTATGAAAGATTTTTTGTGGAGTCCTTTCAGATTAGGATCCTGCTGTCTTCAAGGCGATACTCTGATTTCTTCCTTTCCTGCTTGTACTCTCTCTGCTTCTTCCTCGTGTCCAATTCTCTTTTCATCAGATGTTTTCCTGTAAGATCGGCACCCACTGGGGACAGGGTCTTTGGGGTAGGAAAACACCTAACAGTGGTTTTCAAATTTTTATGTGTAAGAACCTCATTATTCTCTTATAAATTATTGAAGACTCCACAAGACATTTGTGTATGTGGGCAATACTTACTGATATTAGGCTAGACATAAAAACTGTGAGTTATATACATGAGGATATTAGAAAACATTCTGTTTGCCATCAGAGTTATATCTCATATTATATAGTTTCTAGAACAGTCTGCATATACTCCTGAGAGAACAAGATTGAAAACAGTAACAACTTAATGTTATTATGAAAACAGTTTCCTTCTCGTGGTCGCCTTGACGACGTCTCAGGCTCCCCTAGAAATATCTAGACTGCAGTCTGAGGGCTGAGGGAGCTTCTCCAAGTCTCACTTGGAGAAGAAAATTACATTTTCCATGATTTGTATCTGTAAGGTGTGTAGACATCAATTTTTCCTATAGGTTAGCATAAATTTTATGCATTTAATTTAGTCTATTTTTGGCAATAAATGTATGTAATAAAATGTCTCTTCTAAGAATAAATCTTTGAAATGATATTGGAAGTCACTGCAGAGATGGAGTTCACTTTCATAAAAGTCATTTTAGAAACAATAACAATAATAAAAATGAGAAAAGCCATATGTCTAATGTGAAGTTTCACATATGCTAAGGTGGTATTAATGGTTCCATTCTAAACTGGGCATGTGGTGCAGGCCTGCAATCCCGGCTACTTAGGATGCTAAGATGGGAGGAATCCCACACTCACAGTCTCTCTGTGCTATGGAATGAGTTCAAGGCCCACCTGAGCAACTTAGCAAGACTTGTATATATATAAAAAAACACAATCAACAAAAGTCTGAGGCAGAGTTCAGTGGTAGAGTGATTGCCTACCATTTAAGAATGCCTAGGTTCAACCCTTAGTATTGCCAAAATCATGATGAAAATAATTTTGTACACACAAAAGTCTAATTTAGGACAATCACATTTGTTTGTTTGTTTGTTTGTTTGAGACAGGATTTCTCTGTAACTTTGGAGCCTGTCCTGGAACTCACTCTGTACAGCAGGCCTGGTCTCAAACTCACAGAGATCGGCTTGCCTCTATCTCCCGAGTGCTGGGATTAAAGGCGTGCACCATCACTGCCTGGCTACAATCACATTTCCTTAGAAAGCTGGGTTACTATTTGTGATCTCGCCTGGGTCTGTAGGGAAAGGGAACTTGTCCTTGTGTCCAATCACTCCACATCCACAGTAACAGTGGTCGGAGCAGCGTCCTTCTGACACCTACAGCATTTCCACCCAAGAGCCACAGCCCTTCCCTTCTCTGGCTCCATGCCCTTACAACCCGCTCTGGCAGATGCTCTGGTTAGGAGAAGTGGTGGCCTAGTCTGGTGGCCTATGACTTGCCGCAGCCAGTGCGGCACTATGACAGGCATTATGCAAAGTAGCATGACAATCACCTGTACTGGGTCATGCTTTCTTGATCCATTTGTCACCATGGAAACAAACGGAATGCGAGGAAGCCCGAGCGAGCTTGTGAAAGAATTAGGGCCACATGGAAGACAGAGGAACTCTAGCTCCTAGCCAGATGCTCAGCACACCTGCTAAGGAGGCTGCCTGGAGCTGCCTTCCTGCTAACCTGGGATTTGCTTTCAGGCCTCCAGGCGAACGTGAAGCCTCGCAAGAATTGCCTATGAAATGGTCAGCTAAATAAGGCTGACTTTGTTTCTTAGGGTAAGTTGTGGAGAATTTTAGTACAATGAAGGTTAACAGATATGTTAAACTACTTTTTTTTTTTTTTAAATCAGGGACCACGAGGGCCCAATTCTGCTGTGGCTCTGTCTGGTCCTTAAGTCTTCAGCTCTTATGCTGAAGTGGGCAAAGCCTTAAGGAGAAACAGCAGAGGCGTTGATTCGAATGCAGGGCGAGGCAGTTTTCATGTCCTCTTTCTCCTCCTTAAACAGCGTCACCAGAGTTCACAGTCACATTCGTCAACCATCATAAATACTGTTTCACAACAAATAGGGTCATTTAATGGCTGCACGGCTAGCAGCGCTCCTTGGCTGTCTGCCCAGTCATGAGGTGGGAGTGTGCTGGCTTACCTGAGACTTGAAGTAAGTTTCCTGCGGGGTGGCGAGCACATCTGCTGAGGCAATGTCCAGGTGCATGAGCGTCTGCCGAAAGGACGGCCGGTTGCGAGGCTTACTCTGCCTAAGAGAAAGAGAGCGTGTGCATCTCAGAGGGTTTGCCTGGGGGCGCCAGGGCTGCATTCTGCTTTAGAAAACACACATTCTATTCCAAGAACTGCTACGTCTCAGACAGTTTAGTACTGATGTGCAAAGGGAAATTGAGGCCAAGGTAAGTAAGTTAGGTCTGCAATCTGCTAGGAACAGTGAAGTAATCCGAGCTCTTGGCTATTACGGCTGAGTACTGTTTCAAGACATCATACCAAGTCCGTCACTTATATTTTTGTCAGTCACACACAACTCCATGAGTAGGGGCTGGCTCTACTTTACAGGGAGACACACCCCTGATTTCATGGGTAAATCCAGCCCTAAAGTTCCACAGCGCCTGTCACTCCACCAAGACGTGGTTCCTTCTAAGTACCCTACAGAGATGCCTCTGCTCTCTAGGGGAGTTTTAACAGAGAGGATAACAGAAGAAACCCACTTCTTACCATGTCTGTTTCATAAGGATTTTGAATCCATCTGGGCAAGTGGAGGGAACTGGGAGGTGCAAGCTGTTGCTCCCGACACCCCAAATAATGGCTGACGAGTCCACATCCTTGTAGGGGATCTCCCCTGTCAGCAGCTCCCAGAGCACCACTCCGAAAGACCTGCAGCGGGCCGGACACAGACAGCTCAGAGGGACGGGCTCGGACCTAGTTCTTTAAGTAACTAAAGACCAGGTAGATGGTGTAAGCTAGTAATCTCAGCACTCAGAGGCTGAGCTGGGGGGGATCATGAGTTCAAGGACAGTCTGGGTACACAGAAGGTTTCAGGCCATCATGGCTGTATGCTGGGACCTACATCATCAAGAATAAGTAACTTTTAATATATTTTACTAAAAAAAAGTGAGACTTATGCAATGTATTTCATAAAGTCTTCTACACCACACCCTATTCAAAATAAACTTCCAGTTTTCCAGAAAGTTTAGCATAATCAGTGGAGATGCCTCAGAACTGCTTGTTTACTGAGTCTTCACCACAATTCCTCTCCTAATTCTTCCTGACATATATCACACTGGGGCAAACCTTAGAGAATCTGAAACCAGAATCAACCAGAAGGGAAAGGCAGGGAAGACTATTCCAGAAGCCAGGCGGGAGTGGGCAGGGCCCCTGAGATGGCTGGGCACCACTCACCATATGTCAACCTTCTCAGAGACGGGCTCATTCCGGATCACCTCAGGCGCCATCCACGCGACTGTCCCCGCGAAGGACATCTTGGTGCTTTTGTCACTGAGTTCCTTGGATGTACCAAAATCTGAAATTTTGACTGCATCTGTGTGAGTCACTAAAACACTTTGAAAAGAAATAAAGACAAGAACCCGGTCATTAGTGCTGAGGTAAGAGTTCCCTGTGTATGAGACCTGAGTCAGGCAGTGACGGATGCTTCATCTATACTGCAGGGTTCGGCTGACAACCCCCATTGCTCTCAGTCCTCACCCTAGAGACAGCATCATCTGCACCTGCCAGGCAGCTCAGCCCCCACTACTTGCTAACTGTGACTTCTGCCAGTCGCCCTCTCTTCCAGGCCCATTGTCTCTCTATAAATAGCAGGCGCGGGACCATGACATCAGGTATGCATCACATTCCAGGGCTCAGAGGAAAGTTGAGTCCTCTCCATGCCAAGGATGAGCTCTGATCAGCAAAGTTCAAGCAGGTTCCATACAAGACATGCTTTCCTTCCTTCCTTCCTTCCTTCCTTCCTTCCTTCCTTCCTTCCTTTCTTTTTCTTTTTTGCTTTTTTGCTTTTCACAAGAACCACTTACAATGTACCCTGGAACAAACTGTTTGGCTAGTTCTAGTGGTCTATAAAATCAGAATATTAATATCCCCCACTATACTGGCTCTACTTGAAGAAACTCATTCAACATGTTAAGAGTTAATGAATTAGGGTGCTGGGCCCTAAAAATATAGAGACCTATTTCAACAACACACGCCGTTTGTGATCCCACACACTCCAGTCCTCCAAAAGCAGAGGCAGGCGGTTCTCGGAGTTTGAAGCCAGCCTGAAACAAGTGAGTTTCAGGCTGTCCAGGGATACACTGTGAGACACTGACAAAAAATAAACAAATCCACCCATCACCCCATCCAAAAAAAAAAAAAACCCAACCACTAAGAGTCATAACATTCAAATAGTATCTGACTTGGGGGAAAGAAGATGGGGAACTTTGAACTCCATCCCCTCTGTTCTGTTACCTTACCCACATCCCAGCTACCAAATGACTGTCTGTGTACTGAGCAACTTGGTGCTCGGATTACTTTGGGATACCTTCATCACATCTACCTGGAATATAAAACTAACATCATTTAGGACTTCCTGACTTTAGTCTTGGTGAAAATGTATGACGATTAGAATATTATGGGATAGCTGAGGCAGCTAAACTGGTGGTGTCAGATACCACGGTTAGAACACATGATGGTCACTAGACAGAGACGCTGGAGGAGCCTCTTCTGCAGCAGCTGACCTGACATGAGGGAGTGGACACAGGTAGAGAGGAAAGATAACAGAATACCGTAACTGGGGCCGGGGCAATGCTCATGGGTAAGTGCTTCATGCACAAGCGCAGATCCAGCATCCACACAAAAGCCAGGCTCAGTGACACACAGGGGTGGGGCTGGCACATCCTGGGGGCTTGCTGGCCAGCTAGTTTAGCTGAATTGCTAGGCTTCAAGGCTCAGTAAGGGACCCTGCCCCAATAAAAAAGGTGAAGAGCAATAGAAAAGACACCCAGTGCCAACCTCTGGCCTCCACACAAACACACACAGGCTGGCATACTCGTACACACACTTGTACACACAGAAT